AGCGGCGAGGAAGGTGGTTATTTTTAGAAAACAAGCTGTCAAGAACGGGGATAAGGGCCCCTCTAAAGGCAGACAGGTCCGAAAGAGTACTGGAGTTAGAATTGACAAACCTGTCAAAGGAACTAATGAGATCAATGCCACAGCGTGGGCCAGGGGAAGTAGCAAAAAGACAGACCAAGACCAGAAGTTCTTGCTGGTGCTTAGAAAGAGAGTAGGACGAAAGGTTGGTAACACAGTCAGAGAGAGAGTATTTGGCCCAAGGACTGTTGGAGATCAGGCGTTGAAGTTTGTTGTGTAGTGTGGAGGAGTGGTGGGAAGAGGGAGACGTGAGCAGTGTCAAATGCAATTGGAAAAAATGATATTGCATAGATCACTGGGAAGAGAAGAGGACAGAAAGCGTTGCTGTTGACGAACAGCAAGAAAAAGCCTCGTCAACTTGCAAGGAGAGGTGGCATGAATAAGTTCTTGAAGAAGAAGGCGGGCATGTTCAGGGAAAGGAGATCCCGAAGTGTTGAACTGGAGGAAAGTGAGATAAAGAATGAGGGAGAACTTGCTCAGCAAGACAGTCTTTAAGAAAACCTGAGCTGGTTCTTCTTAGTACACTGTGCCACTGTGGTCCCTCATTCCCTCTGTGGTCCCACTGTGGTCCCTCGTCAGTACACTGTGGTCCCTCATTCCCATGGGGGATTCTAATTTTACTTCCCTTATGTCAGACTCATTGAAGGCGACTATCAGGTCAAGTCTAGCAGGTTTATCAATAGAAAGTTTCTTGTTGCCCCGTCCAATAGTTTACCTTTCCATGTATCGGAACCTCCATGTGGTTCTCCATTCTCCCAATCTATGCAGACAATGAGTCACAATAACATGGCTGAAGATATGAAGACTAAATCACACACCAGAAGGTTAGGAGACACCGATGTTTCGGTCCGTCCTGGATCATTATCAAGTCGATTGTGATAATAGATTTGATGATCGTCCAGGACGGATCGAAACATCGTCGTCACCTCATCGATGACTTGATGTGTAGTTTAGTCTCCCAGTTTATCTTTACATGGTTGAAGTCATCCATGATTAAAAGTGTGGATACATTCAACAAATCCACGAGGGCCGTGATGAGGGTACGATATGTTACGCTATTATGATTTCTGTGTGTGTGTGTGTGTGTGTGTGTGTGTGTGTGTGTGTGTGTGTGTGTGTGTGTGTGTGTGTGTGTGTGTGTGTATCCTTTCCTGCAGGCAATTGAAGCTGTTCAGAAGTTGAAGCTTGTGTTCCAAAGCAGGTGGACATGCAAGGATGGGATGAATATAGGGATTAGCAAGTACAGTATACAATAAGAAAATATGGACCATTACTACCTATACAAGCATATTCTGTAATACTGACACTTGGATATAATACTGAGAAACACTTGAGTAGCTGTAAGGTGGAAGGGCAGACAATTGTGGATGAGTGAAGCAGGACGGGTACAGGTGGTTTAGTGCAGACAAGCATTAATGGGGGAAGGTAGGTAATGTCCGGACAGTGGGGGGTTGTAGGGTAGGTAATGTCCGAACAGTGGGGGTTGTAGGGTAGGTAATGTCCGGACAGTGGGGGGTTGTAGGGTAGGTAATGTCCAGACGGGGGGTTGTAGGGTAGGTAATGTCCGGACAGTGTGGGGGTTGTAGGGTAGGTAATGTCCGGACAGTGGGGGGTTGTAGGGTAGGTAATGCCCGGACAGTGGGGGGTTGTAGGGTAGGTAATGTCCGGACAGTGGGGGGTTGTAGGGTAGGTAATGTCCGGACAGTGGGGGTTGTAGGGTAGGTAATGTCCGGACAGTGGGGGGTTGTAGGGTAGGTAATGTCCGGACAGGGGGGGTTGTAGGGTAGGTAATGTCCGGACAGTGGGGGGTTGTAGGGTAGGTAATGTCCGGACAGTGGGGGGTTGTAGGGTAGGTAATGTCCGGACAGTGGGGGGGTTGTAGGGTAGGTAATGTCCGGACAGTGTGGGGTTGTAGGGTAGGTAATGTCCGGACAGTGGGGGTTGTAGGGTAGGTAATGTCCGGACAGTGGGGGGTTGTAGGGTAGGTAATGTCCAGACAGTAGGGGGGTTGTAGGGTAGGTAATGTCCGGACAGTAGGGGGGTTGTAGGGTAGGTAATGTCCAGACAGTGGGGGGTTGTAGGGTAGGTAATGTCTGGACAGTGGGGGGTTGTAGGGTAGGTAATGTCCGGACAGTGGGGGGTTGTAGGGTAGGTAATGTCTGGACAGTGGGGGGTTGTAGGGTAGGTAATGTCCGGACAGTGGGGGGTTGTAGGGTAGGTAATGTCTGGACAGTGGGGGGTTGTAGGGTAGGTAATGTCCGGACAGTGGGGGGTTGTAGGGTAGGTAATGTCTGGACAGTGGGGGTTGTAGGGTAGGTAATGTCCGGACAGTGGGGGGATGTTGGGTAGGTAATGTCCGGACAGTGGGGGGTTGTAGGGTAGGTAATGTCTGGACAGTGGGGGTTGTAGGGTAAGTAATGTCCGGACAGTGGGGGGTTGTAGGGTGGGTAATGTCTGGACAGTGGGGGGTTGTAGGGTAGGTAATGTCCGGACAGTGGGGGGTTGTAGGGTAGGTAATGTCTGGACAGTGGGGGGTTGTAGGGTAGGTAATGTCCAGACAGTGGGGGTTGTAGGGGAGGTAATGTCTGGACAGTGGGGGTTGTAGGGTAGGTAATGTCCAGACAGTGGGGGTTGTAGGGGAGGTAATGTCCAGACAGTGGGGGTTGTAGGGGAGGTAATGTCTGGACAGTGGGGGTTGTAGGGTAGGTAATGTCTGGATAGTGGGGGTTGTAGGGTAGGTAATGTCTGGACAGTGGGGGTTGTAGGGTAGGTAATGTCTGGACAGTGGGGGTTGTAGGGTAGGTAATGTCTGGACAGTGGGGGTTGTAGGGTAGGTAATGTCCAGACAGTGGGGGTTGTAGGGTAGGTAATGTCCGGACAGTGGGGGTTGTAGGGTAGGTAATGTCTGGACAGTGGGGGTTGTAGGGTAAGTAATGTCTGGACAGTGGGGGTTGTAGGGTAGGTAATGTCTGGACAGTGGGGGTTGTAGGGTAGGTAATGTCTGGACAGTGGGGGTTGTAGGGTAAGTAATGTCTGGACAGTGGGGGTTGTAGGGTAGGTAATGTCTGGACAGTGGGGGTTGTAGGGTAGGTAATGTCTGGACAGTGGGGGGTTGTAGGGTAGGTAATGTCTGGATAGTGGGGGGTTGTAGGGTAGGTAATGTCTGGACAGTGGGGGGTTGTAGGGTAGGTAATGTCCAGACAGTGGGGGTTGTAGGGTAGGTAATGTCTGGACAGTGGGGGGTTGTAGGGTAGGTAATGTCTGGACAGTGGGGGGTTGTAGGGTAGGTAATGTCCGGACAGTGGGGGTTGTAGGGTAAGTAATGTCTGGACAGTGGGGGTTGTAGGGTAGGTAATGTCTGGACAGTGGGGGGTTGTAGGGTAGGTAATGTCCAGACAGTGGGGGTTGTAGGGTAGGTAATGTCTGGACAGTGGGGGTTGTAGGGTAAGTAATGTCTGGACAGTGGGGGGTTGTAGGGTAGGTAATGTCCAGACAGTGGGGGTTGTAGGGTAGGTAATGTCTGGACAGTGGGGGGTTGTAGGGTAGGTAATGTCTGGATAGTGGGGGGTTGTAGGGTAGGTAATGTCCAGACAGTGGGGGGTTGTAGGGTAGGTAATGTCTGGACAGTGGGGGGTTGTAGGGTAGGTAATGTCCAGACAGTGGGGGTTGTAGGGTAGGTAATGTCTGGACAGTGGGGGGTTGTAGGGTAGGTAATGTCTGGACAGTGGGGGGTTGTAGGGTAGGTAATGTCCGGAGAGTGGGGGGTTGTAGGGTAGGTAATGTCCGGAGAGTGGGGGGTTGTAGGGTAGGTAATGTCCGGAGAGTGGGGGGTTGTAGGGTAGGTAATGTCCGGACAGTGGGGGGTTGTAGGGTAGGTAATGTCCGGACAGTGGGGGGTTGTAGGGTAGGTAATGTCCGGACAGTGGGGGGTTGTAGGGTAGGTAATGTCTGGACAGTGGGGGGTTGTAGGGTAGGTAATGTCCGGACAGTGGGGGGTTGTAGGGTAGGTAATGTCCGGACAGTGGGGGGTTGTAGGGTAGGTAATGTCCGGACAGTGGGGGTTGTAGGGTAGGTAATGTCCGGACAGTGGGGGGTTGTAGGGTAGGTAATGTCCGGACAGTGGGGGGTTGTAGGGTAGGTAATGTCCGGACAGTGGGGGGTTGTAGGGTAGGTAATGTCTGGACAGTGGGGGGTTATTGGGTAGGTAATGTCCGGACAGTGGGGGGTTGTAGGGTAGGTAATGTCCGGACAGTGAGGGAGGTTGAAGAATAGATAGCGTACAGACAAGAGGAGCTGAGGGATATGGGTTTGATCTTATGATACACCTTCAATATTTTCTCCTGGACCTTCATAGACATGATGCACACAGCATTGATGTCTCGAAGACAACTGTGACAACTTGACGTCCACGATAAGTGTCGTGCTTAGCTTGTTTGAGAGCAGCTTTAGCAACACTCTTGTGAGGATTCCAATCAGTTTATTAACAGTTGTATTTATTAACAATTGTATACAGTACATTATTTATTGCATTTATGTTTAATTGTTTGACTGAAAACCTGCAACTAAAAATTATATTCACCAAAGCTTTGTACTCCAGCACTTGGTTATAGTGTATGTTAATATTATGCTTTATTTTGCATTAACTTAGTTGCAGCTGAATTATTAGTTAAGGAAGCAGTGATTAGTTTTGAACTTGGTTGTGTGGAGGCATTTGGCTAGTGACACCGGTCACCTAAATTGTTTGCTTTCTCTTCTGGAATATTTGACTTATATCATGCTCATTATCTAGTAAGCCTCATCTGAAAAAAGTTAGTTTTAAAGGGCAATATTTGTATTTATTTTATTTGTTAAGATCTTTTCATACAGAAATCATAGTTCCATCTTTTACAATTTATAAGTGGTTGTGTTTTGTACGTTGACAGGGTTGGAGAGAAGTGATTCCCCATTACAAAAGTGGCAAGACAAGATTAACAGTGGCTTCGACAAGTTGGTTGCATTTGCTTCAGAAGTTGATAAGCGACGCAAGTCCACAGAGGGCACATCTCCACGACAAGAAGGGTTTGCATCACCCAGGTGTAGTGAACGCCGACCCCCTGCCATTGCGGAACCTCCACACAGCCTAGAACGTGAAACGTCATCTTTTCGAGCCAGGCAGGAAGAAGAGGAAATAGTACGGAGTAGTGATGTCTCTGTTCCCCCTCCTTATTCTCCACACTCTCCACCCAGATTGTCACCAAGTCCCATCCCAGATGGCAGACCTCCAACACCACAGTCCCCCAGACCTCCTGTTCGTACGCCTCCTATATCTTCTCCGCCTCCAACTCCATCCCCAGATAGATGTGGTGGTGAATCGCCCGGCTTTTACTCGCATCAGGGAGGAGAGACGCCCCCATATCTTCCTCCAGAACTGGAGACCACACGTCTAGTGTCGCCCATCACGTCATCCACAGAACATGGCATTTACCATCACCATTTTAAGAAGAAATTTTATCATAAGGAGCAAATGAGTTCTATAGATTCAGACCATCACCACCACCATCACCATAACAACACACATCACGGAAAGTTCCGTCCCAAAGGCAAAAATTGGCAGTGGAGGAATCGATCATCCCATCATCAGTCATATCATCACCACAGCAGAAGGTCTCCACCGCCCTTGCCGTCTCATCAGCTGCCATACAGCAGCAGCACCACACACCACCACCACCATCACCATCATCGCCACACTGCTACCTATCCACCATCAGTGCCACGTCATCATCACAACCACCACCAACTGGTGACCGCAGCAGCACCAACACAGAGATCACAGGGCCCACAATCACAAGGCCCATACTTCCATCATTAATGTAAGTTGAGCAATAAAATATTATTACCTTATAACTTACAAGATATTTTATTTCAAACATATTTAAGTACTGTATACAGTAGTTCTTAAAGATATATCTGCTTCTATTTCTTTTAGTCACAAAAGAATTTTAATGTAGAATAAGTCAAGGAAGGAAAGTGGCTTGTGCAATATTACACTCGTGTTCACTAAATTACAGTAAGAAATACTGTAATTTGAAAAGGGAGCTGTGAAAATAATAATTTTCTTAAGACTGGTGCGGGATTTCAAAGAAACATTTGTGGGTAGTTGGCAATTTATGGTCATTGGGTCTACCCTATAAGAGCTGCCTTAAAGAGCAATGATAACTGCCAGTGGCTACTGAAAAATGAGTGATAGTGCTTAGTATGTGTCATTACAACCTCCTCATACAAGATAAATGTAATACCTGCATGATACTGTGTTTATAATGATGAAAACATTTGTTTGTTTCTTCTAATGTAAAGTGTTGGTAATTGTTAAGTTACTTTTCCTTTCTTAGATATGTAATCATTTGCCTTTTCAGATGAGCAGACTTGAGCGGATGAGCTGTCAAGACCACCACCATCTTGTGACTTTCCATCATCACACAATTGTTGCAGTGTTGAGAATTGACCCACACATGCTGGCTCTACTTGCATCTACTCAGTTGACCCACACATGCTGGCTCTACTTGCATCTACTCAGTTGACCCACACATGCTGGCTCTACTTGCATCTACTCAGTTGACCCACACATGCTGGCTCTACTTGCATCTACTGAGTTTGTGCTTTCACAATTTAGTTACCCATTACAGATTGTCTATCAAAGCAGCTTGGTACTAGATTTTAACCTAACTGACAGTACAATTATAAAGAATTTATCAGCAAACATTTAATGATAATGTTTGCAATAATAATGTAGCAGTAATTGTAGATTGTAAGAGAAGTGTTGCAAGTATTGGAATCGTCTCTCGCACTCTAAAATTCCACAATTTATTTTATTGTATATAAAATATTTTAATCACAGACACCTTTTAAGTTATGGGCATCAGTTAGAATTGTTTAGATATATGGCATTATTGTATCCAGCACTTGAGATACAAGCCAAAGATAAAGCATATAGTATTGCAAACAAAAAAAAAATCATTTATTTTCTGGATCAGTAGTTTATGGAAGTAATCCAAGAGGAGGTATTAAAGCTGCTGCTGTGTGCATCAGGTTAATGTAGTAGAGCTTCTAGTTGGTGTCAATATTAACATAAAGTGAAGTGATCCCTTTGGGATTAACTTATCTCTTACATTTCTGACTGTCACTGGCAAGTATTGATCAAAGTTTTCACTTGTGTTATAAACTAGATGTATTTTGACAGCTTTTCAGTTTTCAGGAGCATGTTCATCTTTTTTTAAAGAAGAATTTGCAAATTAGATATTTAATTCAATATGTTTTAGCTCATAATGCATTAGTACAAGCTTAGATCAGACTCACATTTAATAGATACAAATGCTTCAATCAGTATTGATGGAGTCATCAAGGTGGTGAGATTGTGCGGCTTTGTGGCTCATCTCTTGTAACCCGAGTACTTCGTCCCACTCCAGGCAGGCTGTTGGCCACACACTACTGCAGTGTTTCTGTGGTTGCCTCTACCAGTACATACAACCATACTCTTTCTTTACCAGGTGTGTTCTTTGACATAACTGTGGGTCTTCCTCTAAACTTGAATGAATATAAGAGAACTTTCAGGGAAATAGAACTGTGATTGTAAATATACTTGCCATGGATTGACTTGCAGGGAGGCTGAGAGTCACAAGAACATATCATTCCAAGGCAAGTGTAATGTCTCTTGCAGTTGTTCAGTCCCAACTGGGAAACTTTTCTCTCAGATTCAGCTTTGTGATCACATGTGGCATTTCAGACAGTGAGCAATTATGATGTAATGTTTGAAAACTTTTTATATGTATAACAGAAGCTAGGTTTGACTTAACATAGAAGTTTGTGTAACATTGCATCTTAACTGATGCAACATGTTTGTGTAACATTTAATTTGTGTACATTATACAAGAACCAGGGCTACGCTGTTGCTACCCTGACACTGGACGATACTAGCACATAAGGACTCTAGTGAGATGATTGCACTGCCATTGAAAGCTTGAACAAATGAACCATGCACCAATTTTCCATCAACAAATGTAAAAATTTTGAGTTAATTTCTTGTTAATATGCAAGACATCATCCTGAATTATGTACAACACTAACCTGAAGTTTCATTCAACTGATTTAGAAAGAAGTTGGAAATTAAATGACTTGTGAACTGCCAACCTCATATCTTCCTACATTTTTAGATATAAATGATTATAGAGGGACCAATTAAAAAACTATGTTTTTAAAATATTGAGGCAATTTTAATCTGTAGATTATAGGTGTCCTTACACTAGTTCCATGTGGGAGATTCCTTGTTAATGTGAAGTAATGGGGTGGCTGGCAACGTATGGCATCATCATACTAGTTGCCACTCCTCTTGTCATGCTTCTAAATCCTCCATTATTATTTCTAATATTTTAATTTTCTTATTTAATTAACTTTTTCTTCAGTATTGTAGTCAATAATGTCTTGTGGTATTTTTTTAACAGTTTTGTTGCGTAATATAAAAGCAGGAGATAACCACTGTGGGTGGGTGATTACCAAACAGTATAGAGAGCTTTAAAACGAACACTGTTACACGCACGTACATGTAACTATTCACAAGAGCATTAGTTGACTCACACTTACTAATTATGGGGTAGATAAATGAGCAATACTTCTTACATTTCAACTTAAATACAATTACACTATCAAAGCAAAAATTTCTAAATAATAAATGTAGAATGTAAAATATGTTAGAGATTAAAAATGGCTAAAGTTGTTTAGTTCTACCTGGTAATATTCGTATTTACAATCTCATCAAAGACTTTAAATCTTATAGTTTTTAGGGCAATTTGTCTACAAGTTTAAAGTTGACATAATTTCCACTGGAGAGTGAAATATACTTGTGGTGCTGTGGTTCATTTATAATCTTTCAGAATTTATTTGTGTGCTCAATTCTATTTATATACTATTTATTTAGTTTTCATTTACCTCATTGTATGGTTTGATGAGTGTGTGATAATAATACGCAGGAGACCTTTCTAAGGGAGGAACACAGACAATTGTGGCTTCTCGCGCCTCTCGTTAAAGTCACCAGTGCGTGCTACACATGTTGTTATGTTGGCTTTGGCTTCTCCTTATGTTCTTTGGCTTCTTTATTTAATTCATTTTGGGGCAAACTTATGTTTATATCAATGCAATTGTAGAAGTCAAGAACTCATTGCAGTATATTTAGAAATTAACTGTAAGGAGCTTGTTGTCGTTGATGTAGTCACCTCCGTGGTTGGTCAGTGTTGATGCAGTTAGTGATATATTTTGTTATGTGTGTGAGTGCTGAGGACGGCTTATTATGCAATTCCCAGCATGAGTAAACATTTGCTTTAGTATTTTTTATTTGTTCTTTACAATGTCGTGTTGATAAATTGAAATAGCACTTAAAAAAAAATATTCCTCGGCTTTACCTCTATAATGTTGCGATAGTATCGGGTTAATTTTTCCACCGTTTGTGTTATATGAGCTTTGTGGTCGAATTTCATCACAAAATGTTTGGTTATCACTTGCAAATTACATTTCAGTACATTGATTTGTAGGAGTGGCTTACCTCTCTCATGACCCGTCCTACCCATAGATGTTTGCAGTAGTGTATGGGGCTGTAAGGAAGTGGCAGTTGAGGGGGCACCAGTGTTCATATCACCGTGAGCACAACAAGTAACTTTCATGCTCACTTAGAGCCAAAAATAAGGTTAGGTACCTGATTGGTTTGTATATGTTTGTTTTTAATAAAAACTTTTATGAGAATAGTTTATTTAGTATGGGTAGTAAGGTATGTGATGTTGAGGCACTGGAGAAATGTTGACAAATTGATTAATGTTGCACATGACATAATTACTATGAGAATGATAAAATACAAAATGTTAAGATAGATCTGTGTTGAACAGAATGTGTGGCCGAGATTTAATGTGTGAATGTTAAGTGCATTATGCAAAAAGAATGATATGACTAAATTGAGGACAAGTCATGAAAGAGAGGAATTATAGATATTGCATAACTCAAGTACCTTACTGCCCAGTCTAATGGACTTTGTATTTTTTAGTTTTTTATATAAAAATTATAAAGTAATAAAACATACCATATTTGAACTGTCAAGTGACTTCACAAAACCTTTGTAGATGTTAATTACATGTTGCTTGAGGGAGTGGGGGGGGGGGAGGGGTCTCAGTGACTGGAGATGGCTGTCTCTAAGGTGAAGTGTTTACGACCCCCAGCTGCCAGGGTCATGTACTGCTGCACCTCCTCTTATTGGAAACCTGTTTATTGTATTATTATTATTTTGATTATTGCATTGTAAAACACTCATTGTAAACCTGTTATGATGCACTATATTAGAACATTATGCCCCTCTTAATTATAGTTCCCATATCATCTACCAAAAATATGGATTGATACTTATGTTCATTACTGTAATTGCTTATATATTTATTTACATATTATAATTACAACTAATAAATCAGATGTGCAATATAATAGGCAAGCAATGAACTCATGCTGGCAATAATGCAAAGTATCTTTGTGTTGCAACCCTCAGCCCATTTAAAGTGTGTGCCAAATACTGTTATTTATATCATTGTTTAATGTAAAAAAAATGAGTGAGAAACACACAAAATTGGCAAAACGTAGTTCCAGAAAAGGTTGAATTCTAACTTGGTATCATTTTGAATATTATTTACATATAGCTTTTGCTAAATTTTATTATATACTGTTATATTTAGTTTTTTGTCTTTTAAGCATCTAAATTCAAAACTGGTTAAAAAATATACATAACATTGAATCACACGTCGTGTGTTTTTGTTTTTTGTAAATATTGCTGGCATACGTGAACCACAAGTTATTATATGACGAGGCTAAATAGTTAAGGTGCAAGACTTGGTGGGATCAGTTGTGGGTATTGAGTAGCGTTGGTGTGTGTGTACACGTGTGCTCCAGCTAAAACATTTACCCATCTCCTTTAGGCTTCATCTCACATGAAGCTATGATGAATCCATAAATGTTATCAACACTTACGGCAGCATTTTCTCAAATGATCATATAATCGGCGAATTAGGACATCCACATACTAATTAATAGGTATTTGGACGGAACATTAACCATGTAGCATTATGCAGAAGTTTGGCAAATTTAGATATATTAATCATATTTTATTGCATAAACATAGAGTAATAGTTTATTAGAAAACTAGATTATGTAGTGATAGTTGAGAGGACACCTCTTATACTTAGCTCCCTTTAGACCAGTGTCTCCTCATCTCCAAGATGCAACCCGTAACAGTTGCTTAATGATAGGGTACCTATTTACTGCTAGGTGAACAGAAGCATTAGGTGTAAGGAAAAGTACCCAAACCTCTCCGTCCTGCATGGGAATGGACTCTGGGACCATGCGTTGTGTTCAGCTTCATGTAATTTTGAGCAACATCTTGGATTGATTAGGTGTTGTGCCTTCAAAATGCTTTTCATTTCCTTCAGGTTTGACTTTATTCAGAATTAAATTAGGATAAAATCAAGTCCAGACTATTTATATAAACATGAAGGTAGGGAAATTATCAGGAGAAAGCACTAAGCCAGTATAAGAATTTAGACAATGTAATATTTTAAAACTGAAATTAGGCAAATGCATTATTTTAGTATTGTACACTTCATTATACATGTTTATTAACAATCATAAATTGATTTACAAAACTAATACAAGGCACAAATAAATTATTCACATTCAAAAATGGATAAATTACTATATTTTTATTTATGTGAAACCAAATATTTAGATTGATAGCCAATGCAATGTTTACACTCATTTATTTTTAATGTATGACTAATAGGGTTGAAGTTGCATCATGATAGCAAGCGGGTGAATTTTATTGCAAGTGTTAAAAGCACTAGGTGGTATAACATGATGCACCAGGGGCTGAAAACCTTTCACACACAACACTGGCTGTACCTACACTACTGCCAAGGGAGCTAACAAACTTCCCACAACTCATCTTAGCTATACCTACACGTAACCAGTAATCAACAAATCAAGTGTTAATGAGCATGTATTTGAAATGTTATTACATCCTTTAGCATGGTTAGGGGTGTGTGTGTGTGTGTGTGTGTGTGTGTGTGTGTGTGTGTGTGTGTGTGTGTGTGTGTGTGTGTGTGTGTGTGTGTGTGTGTGTGTGTGTGTGTGAGCCATCTATTGTACGAGTGGAAGTTATTGGTGTGTGTTGGTAGAGAACTGATTACTGCCCCACAAACCCAAATGTGTACATGTTAGTCCAGTGTCTTTATTTATTTTGTATATTTTTGTTTTATTATTTAAAAAGGAACTGAACCTTATTGTGTAATATGAATTGATGTGATGTCTAACTTTCTAGATTATTGTAGAAAGATTGCTAAGTGCTAGCACGGGGGAGAGGTACAAACTTCACATTTTACCAAACATTTTACACTTCAGTAGTTTGCCATATTCCCTCTCCCCTTTAACTATATCCTACCCATATTTCTAGTTTTATTTTAAGTTTTATTTGTGATATAAATGAATTTGTTTTTTCTGTTGAACATGTTGAGTATCGTACCCCAATTATGATTTGTTAAATTATGTGTATTGTAGAGTTTTAAGTAGAAATGGTAATGCAGCCAGTGATCATTAGTGTAAATCTTAGCTCATATGGTGATAAACAGTTGTATCTGATGAAGCGAGAGCTGCACTATGAATGCTGGAATGTCACTATGTGCGCATCACCACCAATCATCTTGCAGCTTTACATAACATTGGGCATCAGCACCAGTCAGACTGAGGCTTTCCCAAAAAGAGTATGATTATTGCAATGATTGGGTGTTAGTTGTGTATAGAGAGAAGTAGGAAGTGCAACTTGCTCTACTGTGACAAAAAGACAAGGTGGTCGTCTTTGGATGCAACCTTTTGATATAATGTAAAATACATGACTGATTTTTATACCTCTTTTTCACTGCCATTCATAAGAGCTCCATGCCTTTATGGCCTTTCTGTCAGTAGTCTGTTAAATACCAAACAAACTCAGATGTATAATACAATACAGTATTCCAAACAATATAATTGATATGTATCTACTGAAGAAACTGCCACATAGCACTTCATGTATATGAAGGATGCTGAATGAATTTGTCTCTCAAAGAGAATTATAGTGTAGATAATATATTAAGTCTTCACTGCTCAGGCACCTGATAGGAAGGCTTAACAGGCAACATTGTAAATAGTGTAAGATAAAGTGTTTTGTTGTGTTGCTGGTCACAATCATTGATCTCATTGCGTGTTCTAATGCCCCTGCTACTGCCAGTTACTTCTCATGGGTTTCATCAAGTCACAGTAATGAGTACATTGTGTACATAATTGTACCTATGTATATCTTATCGAGGGCCAGCCTATGCTTGTGATAGCCTGGGCTGCCTTAGGCTGTGTGCATTAGTAACCAGATTGTCAGTTATAAACAAAATTATACATTTCATCAATAATTTGCACAACAAAGCCAAATATTTCCAGTCTGGTTACACTTCATCCCTACAGAATAACAATATGTAGTGTTTCTGACAAAACTATTTCTATTGATACAAAAGCTCTCCAACAAACCTAGTAGCAGCACATCCTTCAAGTATCCTAGAAATTCTTAATTACCAGTATTTTGTCATGTGGTCTTGGCAGCTAATGTTGGGTGTTCTGTGTTGCTAGAGGATATCCACATATTTGCTGTAAGGACTACAAGCTTTGTTGTCACTATTCTGTGGGGGTGATGGCTACTCACAAGTGACTACATCGATGCTTTACAAAATAAGGATGATTAATAGCACATGTCTTATCTTCCAGAATCAAATATTGTAATTTAAATGTGATCCATCCACTCTTTAGAAGCTGTGTGCTCGACTAATTTAAAATGAGTTTATTTACAGCAAGGGCTTGGCGAGTTCAAACTGCTGTTAACGGTAGCAGGAACTTGTAAATAGGGTTCATTATCGTTCGGGTCAAGTAATTATGAGGCTGAAGTGATAAGAGCATTGGAAAACCACCTCAGAAAAAATGAGTATGTTTCATTACCAGCCAATGACGGAGTAAATCTTCAGAATCTGGACATTCTAGCAGGATTTTATTATTAATCATGGATTACTATAGACCATTAGCAAAACAACACTTATTAAAAAAATGGTTTATAATCCTTTGTTTTAAATTGTTTGGAACTAATTGTAATCGGTGTCCAGCTTTTGATTATTTGCCCCTCGTGTGTCCATATGTGGTTAACTCACGTATGGGATCATGACTAAGTACAAAAATTTGCCCTACCTGTACTTAATGTAATATGACCTTTTTGTATTGTACTCTTGATTCCAGGTTCTTCTAGCAGTGTTTGATGCCTTCAGAAAATTAAGACATTTCAAAACTTCAAAAGCTAAAAGCTTGTAAAGTGTAATCAGTTAAGGTATTGGGCATCCAGTGTGTGACAAGAAGACGGCTGGAGTAATAGACAGGAGTACATGCATTTGGTTCTTATCTATCATGTCTGTAAAATTGTATCCATTGTTCAGAATAAAATTCTCAATTGTTTTTACTAAAACTTATTTTTTTCTTATTTATCTCCATTATCAGTGTTAGTACCACTCTTTCCCATATGCGGAAGATCATTCAGTAGTGCGGCAAATTTGTTTCCAGTGTAGCACGTTATTGCTTACTACCAAGTGTCACCCGTAAATGAACTTGGTTCACATTTCTAGGCCATTAGTAGTGGTTCATGACTTAATTGCCCATAATTATTGAAAGAAGGCAACAAGCCAGGAAGATTATGTAGCAGTACCAAATTGCCAACACCAAATGCCCCAGCTTCCACCATGAAGCCATCTTCATTAATTAGTTCTTATGGTGATGTCCAGCTGGACATAAGTATTTTGGGTCTTTCAGATGTAGCAAGCGTGTTGTAGTCTGGTTGTTTTGGCTGCACTTGGCATCTGTCTGCTAATGAACAGCCAGGGGGGTCCTGCTTGTTTGGCTGCTTTCAGGCCCCTGGTAATCTCCCCTGCAGGTCTTTGACTAGGTTGGTTTAGCCTGATGAGCCCTTACCATGTGAGTGTTTGAAAGTTGCCCAACATCTTTGCTACCACATTATCATTATTTCTGTCTCCACCATGATGTTGGGTTGGTGACACCTATGACCCCGAGTCCTGTGTAGTTTGTTGCCTCTGAGTCTCTTCATTGACTGTGACTTCCAGTGTGGTGGCATTTCAAGTAGCAGTTGCTTTGCAAGCTAGGTTTGCTAGGACTAGGCATTTGCAGCATTGTGATCAGTTGGATGTCCCGAGGCAAGCCCCTGGGGGACCCAGTGTTGGTGACCTCCACCTAGACTAAGTCCTCGCCTCCTCTTCCTTTTCCTGCAGGTGTGTTTTGCCCTGCTTCTGGCTCCTTTGCATCCAAGAAGTGTCTTGAGTCAAGGCAAGGTTTGGCTCAGGGCGTAGCTCTGCTTTTTTTTTTTTTTTTTTTTTTGGGGGGGGGGGGGGGGGTAGCCGCATCCACTTCCACAGTGGAGGCATTCAAGCTTCTGGTCCCACTAGGGTTTCGAGACTATCACCTACACACTGGGCACCCCCTTCCCTTCCACCACTCTCAGCCTCCTCCTTGGGAGGAAAACTTTTCTGCCCCAGATATAAGCTGACTCTGCCCCCAGAGTCTTTGTGGCAGGGTTCTGAGACTGTGGGGGTGCCCTTCAACCCTTCTTAAGACCTTCATTCCCTGTCTGGATCTTTTGCTTCAGGGAGATAACTTTTCATGTTTTATTCCTGTGTAGGAGTATCATCATTTGCTTCCGTGTCCTGTTCGGTGCCTTGGGTTTCTATCTTCCCGTATTTTCCCTTCAATGACTTACATGGCTTTGCCTCGGTACCGCCTGTGGAATTTGACTCTCTCTTCTTTTATGAACCTGGCCTTTCTTGAGTACAGGTCAATATTGACTGCATTGCAAGGTTCCACATTCATCCTGGATGGCTGATATTTCTTTTCCTTGGGGCTTGGCATGGGTTTTATCAGACCAGATGAGCTTGATTGGCAGGTGTTCCATCTTTGAGGTGTTGTTGGGCAGCACTTCCAATACTCCACTCAGGGATGTGGGCAACTTGCAGCTCCATGTGCAGTGACCTGTATTGTTTGGGGCCCTTATTGTGAATGACCACAAGGTGCATTTGCACTTGGCAGTCATCTTGGGGTAGGATCCTTGTGGAGGGGGGTCTCTGGGCAGCTCCATGAGGATGTTGCTTCGTTTGGCACTGTCCCAAAGTGTGGAGGTCTTGATGCCTGTGGCTCCTGCCTTAGCAGTGTTGTCAACAATGCCAGCCCTTCTCCTTCTGGAGGTGATGGCGGCATTACTCTGCATACCTCATGTGTTAACAGGAGGAAGAAAGGGAGGGGTTTTGTCCACCATTGGTCTGGTATGGTTAGGACCTCATTTTCTGTTGGGTGAAATAAGCCCTTCAGTCAGATTACCAGGCTGTTATGCTTCCTGTTGCACTTTCCTTTTCTGCTAGATATCATAACTACACATTGTGGAAGGGTGGTTCCACTTGTGGTCATGCTGGCCCTTTCACGGTTCACCCCCTTTGATGCCACTCTAGGGGGGAGAGGGGTGCATCTGGCTCATTTCACCAGCTCCTGATCCCATGATTAGTGGGCCTTTCAGGTTGTTTCCAATGGCCTGAAGTGGAGTTGCTCAGTTCCTTCTTCCCCTTTCTTGAGGGAGTTGGAGTTTTCATGTCGGGTATCCTCCCTGGCTCTATCTAGTCATTGCAGGTTGACTGGACTCGGTTGGTCGAGTTGAACTTGTTCTTTTGATGGTTGTCCCCAGTCTTGAAGAGGGACTTGGCAGACCTGTGGTACATCCTCGATCTTTTGGGTTTAAACACCTTTATACCCTGTACAACCTTCTGCATGACCACCATGGCTAAGCTTGAATGGTATCCCCTGGATCATAATTATCACTTTCACTGCCCGATGCCGCATATTTCGTCATGAAACCAATAATACCCAGACTTTCGGATGAAGCAAAAAGTTTTGCAATGTCTTCTTATTAAGGTGATAGTCCTCAGGTGATAGTTATCTATCTAGAACCACCCCTAGATCTCTTTATCAGAATTCTTTAAAGATTCCTCACATGACTTATAGGTTGTGTGGGGTCTATGTTCACCTATTCCACATTTCATAACATGGCATTTATTCCATTAAATTCAATTTACCAAGTGTTGCTCCATATACTTATTTCGTCCAGGTCTTCTTGAAGGGCATGACAATCATCTACGTTTCTTATCTTTTCAATTATCTTAGCATCATCAGCAAACATGTTCATATACTTCTGTATTCTATCTGGCAGATCATTTATGTAGATAATAAAGATTACCGGTGCAAGAACTGAACCCTGTGGTACTCCACTTGTGACATTTCTCCAGTCGGATACATTACCTCTGATTACTGCCCTCATTTTTCTATCAGGAAATTTTTCATCCATGTTAGAAGTTTACCTGTTGCCCCTCCAATATTTTCCAATTTCCAGAACATCTAATGTGGAACTCTGTTGAAAGCCTTTTTTTTTTTTTTTAGGTCCAGATAGATGCAGTCAACCCAACCATCTCTTTCCTGTAAAATCTCTGTGGCTCGATCATAGAAACTGAGTAAATTCGTTACATAGTATCTTCCAAATTGAAAACCATACTGTCTGATAATATATCGTTTGTCTCCAAGTGTTCTACCCATATAGTTTTAATTATTTTTTCCAATATTTTGACTATTACACTTGTCAATGATACAGGTCTATAATTGAAGGGATCTTCCCTGCTGCCAGTTTTGTAGATTGGAACTATGTTAACCTTTTTCCACACATCTGCTATAACTCCTTTACACAGGGATGCCTGAAAAATCAGTTGAAGTGGAATGCTGAGCTCAGGTGCACATTCTCTCAGATCCCATGGTGAAACTCCATCTGGGCCAACTGCTTTGTTCTTATTTAGCTCCTTGAGCATTTTTTCCACTTCGTCTCTAGACACCTCTATGTGCTCTTGTTGTTCTCTAGACTTCTTATTGTGTTTGGTTTCCCTGAAGATTTCATTTTGTACAAACACACTTAGGAACATGCCCTTCCCTCATCCTCGTAGCTTGTTTAACATGTTGAAAAATTAATGTGTCCAGGATGAGATTTACGAATCCACAAGTCCAAAGATCCTCTGTTCTAGATTCATATGCCTCCCAGTCTATGGATTTCAAGTTAAAGTCGCCGACCACCAACAGTCATGATCAATGTTTATCAGCTCTCGCTATAATCTCTCATTATTGTTACAAGACCCCTCTCGTTTATTATCTAGCTCCTCCTCTGTCCGTGTGTTGCATGGATGTGAACTATTTGTATTTATGATTTAGTTATCATTCTGAAATGCCGCCACCACTGCCTTATCTAATTTTTCTGTCCCGTCTCCAAACTGAGTAGCCCCTTGGGAATACAACCTCATTTAAAATATCATCATCAAGTTTTGTCTCCCTGAGTGCAACAATGTCTGGTGTCTGCAGCTGTATTACATCACTTAAGGGGGTGTCTGGTTGTCAATCAAAGTTGTTCAATGTCAACCAATATTATTTGACTAGTTGTATATGAAAAGTGCTTTAATTGAACCAAGTTTCAGTACTGCAGCATAAATAGAAAGGGAGATTTTTTTTGTTTTTGTTTTTTTTTTCAACATTTTTTACACATTTTCAAGTCCACACTTCAGAACACACGTTTCAGATATAATTATTCTGTGACACTTTTCTGACACATTAGCATATAAAGGACCTTGAGATATAGAATTTCCAAAACATCTTTAGTTTTCCTAATACAAATGTTCAAAGTTCCCAAATTTTTTTTTGCAAATATGGCATGTTTATTGCTATTATAAAATCAATAAATAAACTTAGAGAAAAATGAAAACTCTCCAATGTAGAGACATGCCCTCCACATATACTGTGTAAGTTTCATGTAAATTGAATAAAAAATAAATCAGTTTTGTAAGCGTTTGTGTCAATTGAAAAAAAAACAGAAATGAATGAAGTCTAAGGTTCTAAAATCTGTGGCTGAGGTTGACATCAACCAATTTTCTCCAAAATTGGCGTCCTTACAGATAGGCGTACGTACAGTCAGGTGTGTAAGTTTGATGCAAATCGCCCGAAAAAAAAATTAAAAAAAAAAAAAAAAAAAAAAAAAATTCTTAAATTTTTTTTTCAATTAAACTAATTATAATATTTGTTTAATATATGCTATTGTGATAGCAAAGAGTCATAGCTATGATTTCAGTTGACACTTTTGATTGATAATCGATTTTGACCATTTTGGCATAATTTTCACAACTACTTCAATATTTTTTTTCTCCCTTCCTATTTATGCTACAATGCTGAAACTTGGACCAGATGAAACACTTTTCATATAGAACTTGTCAAAAAAGTTTGATTGAAATCGAACGAGTTTTCCTTTGTTGCATTTTTAGGGCAAATTGGAATCTAAGGCCCTCTTAACTCTAGTATCTTTGATCTTACTCCATCTATGTTGGTGTATGC